ACACACACACACACACACACACACACACACACACACACACACACACACACACACACACTTTCTTGCTCTGCTCAGTATGACCCAGTTTGTATAACATTCACACACACATGTTATGCAGCCAATGGTGACTAGACGCACCTCAACATTAGACTTTGTACTTTACTTGATACGGGTTATACTCTAGTATTTAATAATACAGAGCATGCTGTTCATTAAATATCTGTCTTTGTTCCCAGAAACTGTTGGAGTTGAACAACCTTCACTCCCTGGTGTCGGTGGTGTCCGCTCTGACGAGCGCTCCTATCTTCAGACTCAGCAAAACCTGGGCGGTAAGATATCCCACAATGCACTGCTTGATTAGAAAATAGGAGCCAGCACCCCCTTCAAATTAATGTGTGAAGCAGCGGTGTTGGCTAATCAATATATTCCATTCCATGCATACTTTATATAAATAATATCCTGCTTTTATTGTGTTAACAGAAAGTTAACCCTACAATAGTGTTTTTATTTGTCAGACAGTTTATAGATGTTGTTTATCTTCACGGTTCATCTGTATATTTTTCTTGGTTTATTTCTATTTTGAGATGTTTGTATTTTAGAATTGTTTTATTTCTATTCTTTTAATTAAATATAGTATGTGCAATTTGTTTTATGCTGCTGCAACAAAAGAATGTCTTAATATGAGTATATTTTGGAAACGGACACAAAAAAATGCAAAGAGAAATTGCTGAAACACGAATGCATAAAAAAGAAACATCACAGCTCTTGCACAGCCCTATGTCAAAGACGTGTCCTTGTCTCCTTGTTTTGCGAGTATAGTCAATCTATAAACCGAGGGTTAGTGGTTACCCTGAAGCCAACATGCTCTAAGCCAGTGGTTCCCAACCTGGGGGGCAGGCCTCAGATGATTTGAGGCCAAATATCATATTTAGACTTTTTATTACATATAATTGTAACGCAATACATGATTGTCACTAAAAGCCTTGTCTCTACATTACAATAAAATATACAAAATAATTGATTAATTAATTAGAATAAAAATTCAAGTTAGTATTAAAGGCATAAAAAGACAGAAATGTATAATTGTTTCTTTAATAGAAATGTTTCTTCTGCTCGTAAAGTGTCCAAACCGGGCTTGTCTGGATAAGCGCATTTTTAAAACAGTCATTGTCCATGCCGGTTTCAGTTGCATTATTTGTCACAGTTGCTCCGATCAGATCGGTATCCTCCATTTTGTAGATTATTTACGACTTTTGAATCCACATAAACACATCGGCAAAATCCGGTTTACTTTGAGCATGTGTTTTAAACAGTTAAATCCCTTTGTGAATTGTTTCCACTTCCGCCGTCCTTTCATTTCTTCATACAGCGGGAATCCAAATGAATTAATCCTGAGTCCAATAAGTCACTCCAATAGTGCTCCTTAATTACGCTTTCATCCTCCTTTAACAAAATACTTCACATTCATCCAGTTTGTGACAGTAGTTGTAGCATTTTGAGACTTTAATTACCACTGTTGTGCCCCTTCCCCCCTTGTGTGTGTGTGGGGGGGGGGGCGCAACTTCCAACAGGAGTCATTTGGGGGGGCTCTTGGGAAAAAAGGTTGGGAACCCCTGCTCTACGCAACATCAGACATTTTATTGTTTTATTTTCTATATTTCTTAGCAGTCTGCTGAAGTGTCTTATTTGTTATGATGGAGGGGTGTTGGTGTGACTTAGTATGTAAGTAGCATGGCATTTGTTTATTAGCATCAGATTGTTGGACAGACTGGAAGCAGGTGCCACATCGCCTACAAAAGTTTGACTCTGACTCAAATCGACAGACTCATTAAGAAATCAAGAATTCATATTTGTGTGTTTGCCATAGTTCCCTCTGAATCAGAAGGTTTAATCCATGAATCAATCTCTGTTGTAGTTGATCAGTCGGAAAGACAAGGGCACATTTGAGAAGCTCAACTATCTGACATCCAAGGAGGAGAACTACACCTGCATGAGGGAATACATCCGCTCCCTGAAGATGGTGCCCTGCATCCCATACCTCGGTAAGGTGTGTGTGTGTGTGTGTGTGTGTGTGTGTGTGTGTGTGTGTGTTGTGTGTGTGTGTGATGTGTGTGTGTGTGTGTGTGTGTGTGTGTGGTGTGTGTGTGTGTGTGTGTGTGTGTGTGTGTGTGTGTGTGTGTGTGTGTGTGTGTGTGTGTGTGGTGTGTGTGTGTGTGTGTGTGTGTGTGTGTGTGGTGTGTGTGTGTGTGTGTGTGTGTGTGTGTGTGTGTGTGTGTGCTGTGTGTGTGTGTGTGTGTGTGTGTGTGTGTGTGTGTGTGTGTGTGTGTGTGTGTGTGTGTGTGTGTGTGTGTGTGTGTGTGTGTGTGTGTGTGTGTGTGTGTGTGTGTGTGTGTGTGTGTGTGGACAGAACAATGTGGGCTATCTACCCTTACCCACAATTCACACAGATAAGTTCAGCTGTCAGAACAAAGTGAAAAACAATGAATGGCATAAAATATTATTTAAAATGTCGGGTTGTAATAGATTTCTTTATTTTCTTCTCAGTGTACCAGAATGCGTAGTTTATATGTTAGTATTTCTAAAAATCTCGTGGGGGAGAATCCCCCCAGACCCCCCTTCTGGGGTTGGGTTTTCAGCATGTGTGCCTCTTTATGTTACACAGTTCAGCTTTGATTCCATCATCTCATTAAACCTGTTTTAAAGCATACTTTAGTTCTGTGAAGGGATATAAGGGATTATGCACCGTACTTCACTTGAATTAATATTGTCTGCTGAAAGGCGTATATATTACAGCACACTTTTTTGTTAAATAGATTTGAGTGGTTCAAAATTTCTGGTCGCGATTTATTGACAAAGGAAAAAGTGGGTCCCGAGGCCAGTTGAGAACCACTGCTCTAAAACATAAACAGAATACAATCATTTGCAAATCCTTTTTGACATATTGAATACACTCCAAAGACAAGATAAGTGATGTTCAAACAGGTCAACTTAATGGTTTTTTGAATTAAAAGGAAAGGGGATGCAACACAAAAAAGCTGTGACAGGCATGTTACCACTGTGTTGCATCCCCTTTCCTTTAAACAACACTAAGTGTTTGGGAACTGAGGACACTAATTGTTGAAGCTTTTTTAGGTGGAATTATTTCCCAATTCTTGCTCGATGTACGACTTTCAGTTGCTCAACAGTCCGGGGGCTACGTTGTTGTATTTTGCGTTTCATAATGCAAAGGGAGACGGGTCAGGATAATTACATAATAAACAAATAATACGTTTTTGATATTAGAATACAATCTCAAATCGGCATTTATTACTGGTTGCAAGTGCTAGGAGACTACTCTTTGTTTTATTGTCGCTAATGCTTTACTCGATGTTAAGTATTGCTGTACAACCATTGGTAGTTGTGAGAAGGAAGGCAGAGGGTAGTGTCGTGAAAGATTGGAGTTCAATCACTGGAAACACGCGCAGAGTTGTGCATATTTTATTGCAAGATTGGTAACATACAGATGATACAAATAATCTTAATGAAGCAGCATATATATACACACAGAATACCTGATGCTTACTATATCTGCACACTAACACAGTGGTGATTCGACCTTTTTAACAGTCCCTGGTATTTCCTTGTTCATTTAGAAAAGTTGACTTTGATCACTTTGACATGAAGTGGTCAGAAGACCTTCAATCCATTGTTTTATTAACCTTTACCTTACCAAAGTGAGATGAAATTAAGCGACAAATGAAATGATCGATAACATGTTTGGGGGGAAATAAATAACCAGATCTATTTCCTGTAGAGTTGATCCCTATATATTATACATACATACTCAATATGGCCACCAATAATACTCTGAAATACCAGTGTTTTACCAAGTTTGATCTCTGGATATAAATTCCTTTTGTTACTATTAAACATGCAATGCTGACTTTATTTAGATTCCTATTGTAAGTTTTGTATTTTAGACTCAAGCAAAGATATTCCAGCCACTTCACTTGTGAGTTATTTTGTGTGCAATTTAGCTTTAAGAGCCCAGACTAAATGAGAAAGTGTGTTAATGGACGGTGTTTGCATTGGGTCGTATCATCATGGTCACTTTCTTCAGAGAGTACGCTCCCCCTCTGAACTCGGCCCAGTAGACCCCGTCCTGGTAGCGGCTGCGGTAATGCCCCCCCCCGGTACCACACGCCGTTCATGTTGGAGTGAGCGCAGGCCTTGTACCACCACCCTCCTTTCTGGTAGTGGGCACAGTTACCTGGAGATACAAGGACTTAGATTAGACCAGGGGTGTCCAAACTACGGCCCGGGGGCCAAATGCGACCATTTTGAATCGTTTGCCCTCAGCAAATTCTAAAAGTATAATGAAATGTGGCCCACAAATTAAACATCTGCTATTGTACTTCTTAAATATATATGTTCAAATATATAACACAGTATTCATGTGTTAATAAGCCACATTTTCAGATAAATTCAGTCAATTCAACTCGGGGTTAAGTATCAAGGATACATCGACATGTTGTCTGCACGGGCTGGGATCGAACCCACAACCTTCTGTTTAAAAGACGACTTATCCCTCTCAGCCCCAGTGAAAGCACACCAACAGTTATGATAGCCTTCTCTAGTACTTAATTCCCTCACCTGTGTAGGCGTCGTTGTCTTTGTCCAGTGTTGTGAACTGCTTGCCGTTGTGCCAGGTCAGCGAGTCTCCAGCGTTTCCCTGGTATCGTCCCACTCGCAGCCGGTAGAAGTCTGCCTCAGACTCGATTCTGAAGCTGGCGTACTCTGCGTAAGTCTTACGTCCGCTCCAATCCTCCAGAGTCACCAGCAGCTTGTAGGTGGCCTGGTTAGTCAGCCAGTAGATGTTCTCCAGACCTAACCAGTGCTCCCCATCAATGTTTCCAAACCCTTGCTGTCACAAGAGAGAGACATTTAATTAGCTGCATGTAAACTCATCCAACTGCTCTAACCAGAGATGGAAAACATTACACACATCCTTCACTCAAGTACAAGTGCAGATACTCGTGGTTTAAAATTATCTGGTAAAGGTTCTGAGTAAACTCCTTTACTTAAGTACATTTCAAAGCCCTAACTTCTTTACTTTTACTTAATAGGAAATGCCAAAACAATTCCCCCATTTTAATTAATGTTTTTAAAATGTAGAAAGCACAATTATTTGTGTAAAAGTAATGATACTAGGCAAATCTACTTGAGTATTTGTACTTCTCTACCTCTGGTTCTGAGACATGATTTAATAGGAAATGCCAAAGCGATTCCCCCATTTTAACTAAGTTATGTTTGTCCTCCCTTTGAATACACACCATCCATGTTTTCCAAGCATCGATAAAAGACTGGTCATGATGTAAGAGGGAGAGGCGAAGAGCCGTGGCATTGCATGACGTGTCCCTCCGTCTGAATCACTGCTTTCAATTACATCACACATGCGTTCAATCAGGAGGGAGTCCTCGTCCATGCCAAATGTGAGTTGGCTTAAAGAGGCTTGTTGACTCATTAAGGGGGGGTTGATGGACATCTTGGAAGTGCTCCTTTGGGAGTTTGGTTGTTATTTGAAAGTGATGAGACGTTTTGGGAGGAAGTTGATCTTTGGCAATGAAAGGTTTCACCCTGTGCACCAGTATTTACGTAACTGCGGGTCTTCAGAGAAATAGCTTGGAAACACAGCATGGTTACGTCTTTGAATCATTGAGCAACACTGAGCATGATTGATTTGATTTCAGCTCATATATTTGATTTTTGGTGGGTTTTTGTAATGATTACTCACATCTTCCAGACAGAACAACAGATTGATGGATCAAATTGTAGTGGTTTTGATTGTTTGGACGGGGGGAATCCTACTTTGGTGATCCCCTAATGTTTCCATGATGTCATAGTTTCACTTATGCTTTGAAATATCTGAAAACCAGATTATGGATGAAAGATTGCTTTGTACAGATATTCGTGTTTTCTAAGGGGATGAATCATCACGATCCTCTGATGTTTTGTCGATTGTACCATCGGATTGACATTTGAATTTGTATTAACTTTTGGAAAATAGCATTCATGTTGCCCTGAATTGTAAGACTTTGGTAATCCCCTTACTTTTCATCAAGCACTATGAGGTCAACATATTTGATTAAATTGTTTCAAATACATTGGTTTATGACCAAATACTTTGGAAATTAGTTTCATTACCATCAACCCAAGCTATTCCTTTGGGCTTTTGTGCTAATTTAGCATGCAAACAGCTACAGTAAGATGATGAACAATGAGGGTGGCTCAGTGGATAGTGTGCTGGACTTCGAATCAGGGGATAGCAAGTTCAAGTCTCACTGCAGTCAGCATGTCGTTGTGTCCCTGGGCAAGACACTTCACCCCAAACTGCTTCTGTGCGGATTGTCCACAGCACCGAATGTATGCAAGTCGCTTTGGATAACAGCGTCTAACAAATGACATGTAACGGCCCGTCCACACAGCGGCGTGCGTTGACGCTTGGAGGTGGGCGTATCTGAAGCTTGGGGATTTTTTGCGACCAACAACCAATCACATGAATCTCCCGCCCCCGACATACAAAGCAATAGCAATGTTAAAACGAAGTCAACTGGATATAAAATCCCCAAACAGGCGAAAACCTACCAGTTTCACCCACTGTCTCTGCCACCTCCCTCCATGCCTCGCTCCTCCGGTTTGTATCCCGGTAGATGAACAGAGACTGATCATACAGCACCGGGTGATTCACTACCGCTATAATGAATTTTCCCTCCATTTTTTGGAATATGAGGAAATGACCTGCGTAGTCTCTCCCAGCATACACGCGGTTTGATTGGCTAGCGCTTGTACTGGCAGATTTGCATAAACGGGATTTAATTGGCTGACGCCTCCGTCGAGGCGTCAAAAGTTGAACATTGCTCAACTTTTGAAGCCAGCAACGGCAGCAACGCCAGCAACGCTCCACGTCGCTTCCCAAAATGCAGTTCGGCTAAAAGTGACGTCACCCCATTCAAAGTGAACGGGCAGAAGCGTTGGAAGCTTCAACGCACGACGCTGTGTGGACGGGCCGTAACTGTAACTGTACCAACATAACATAGACTTGTATATAACCTAAAGGTCCAAGATGAATCTAAGAACAGATCAATGTTTAGTACCTTGTACGTCTCCCAGTTTCTAAAGAAGTTCACAGAGCCGTCCGTACGCCTCTGAATGACGGTCCAGCCACCAGGGTCACGTGTCTGGTCACACCAAACCTGCATCAGTCGATTGGTCTTGTCTGGTTTCAGGAGGAACATGCCGCTGTTGGTGTATCCGCCCTCCACAGCTTCCAGACAGTCTTTGAAAGGACCTGCAGGAGAGACGATATGCTGACTAACTATCGTGCATATTGATAAACAAAGGCTTTCATGACTGATTCGCCTCACATGTCATTGTCATCGTTATTATAATTCAAACAACCTGTCAAAGTAACAGACACGGCTACATTTAATAGAACATTTTAGTGCAGCTGGAAAAGTAACGTCACTGTTGCCCATGTGTTCTGTATGCCACATTTGACCATTTATTTCCAGTGTCTGTGATGCTGACAGCAGGAAAGTAACAGTGTGTAAAAGTATTCTTTAAAGGTCACCTAATATGTGAAATCCACTTCCTCATGTCTCTTCTACATCAACATGTGTCCCCTCTTCTTCATGTCTCTTCTACATCAACATGTGTCCCCTCTTCTTCATGTCTCTTCTACATCAACATGTGTCCCCTCTTCTTCATGTCTCTTCTACATCAACATGTGTCCCCTCTTCTCCACGTCTCTTCTACATCAACATGTGTCCCCTCTTCTTCATGTCTCTTCTACATCAACATGTGTCCCCTCTTCTCCACGTCTCTTCTACATCATGTGTCCCCTCTTCTTCATGTCTCTTCTACATCAACATGTGTCCCCTCTTCTTCATGTCTCTTCTACATCAACATGTGTCCCCTCTTCTTCATGTCTCTTCTTCATCAACATGTGTCCCCTCTTCTTCATGTCTCTTCTACATCAACATGTGTCCCCTCTTCTTCATGTCTCTTCTACATCAACATGTGTCCCCTCTTCTTCATGTCTCTTCTACATCAACATGTGTCCCCTCTTCTTCATGTCTCTTCTACATCAACATGTGTCCCCTCTTCTTCATGTCTCTTCTACATCAACATGTGTCCCCTCTTCTTCATGTCTCTTCTACATCAACATGTGTCCCCTCTTCTTCATGTCTCTTCTACATCAACATGTGTCCCCTCTTCTTCATGTCTCTTCTACATCAACATGTGTCCCCTCTTCTTCATGTCTCTTCTACATCAACATGTGTCCCCTCTGCTTCATGTCTCTTCTACATCAACATGTGTCCCCTCTTCTTCATGTCTCTTCTACATCAACATGTGTCCCCTCTTCTTCATGTCTCTTCTACATCAACATGTGTCCCCTCTTCTCATGTCTCTTCTACATCAACATGTGTCCCCTCTTCTTCATGTCTCTTCTACATCAACACGTGTCCCCCTCTTCTTCATGTCTCTTCTACATCAACATGTGTCCCCTCTTCTTCATGTCTCTTCTACATCAACATGTGTCCCCTCTTCTTCATGTCTCTTCTACATCAACATGTGTCCCCTCTTCTTCATGTCTCTTCTACATCAACATGTGTCCCCTCTTCTCCATGTCTCTTCTACATCAACATGTGTCCCCTCTTCTCCATGTCTCTTCTACATCAACATGTGTCCCCTCTTCTTCATGTCTCTTCTACATCAACATGTGTCCCCTCTTCTTCATGTCTCTTCTACATCAACATGTGTCCCCTCTTCTCCATGTCTCTTTTACATCAACATGTGTCCCCTCTGTGGAAAGAGACTCTGAAAGTTTCAGGAACAAAGATTCTCTCTCTTTTTGATCCATTTCTATAAAAACCTGTCTGAAAATGAGCTGATCAGATTTTGGCCACTTTATGATGTCATAACGATGTTTTGGCTTGTGTAACCATTAGCCAATCAGCAACCAAGGTAACCCCACCCCTTATCACCTGAATCTCCTCCTAGAGCACCATTGAGTTCTTTGTAACCAAATGTCTCTCAGAGGGGCGTGGGGAGGGGCTCCTTATTTTCATCTAAAGTAACAGACAGAGAATCAGCACTTTGGAAACAGGGCTGAAACAGAGGGGATTATGGGTAATGCTGCAATGATCTGTTTGGTGTTTCAGCCAATCAGAGACATGTTTTATCTGAGACCTGTAATATATTGATGAAAAACAGTATAATAGGGGACCTTTAAAAGATGATAAATAGCATACAATGTCCTTCACTGCACAGTTTATATGCCAAGCATGTTGCAGCTGATCTCCCACAGTTTTTGGGCCATCTCATCATCAAAAGCCGCCCTAGAGAACCTTGCAGGAGCAATATGTACTCTGGTTACTAATTTCATTTTCGGGGGAGCTAAATCACATCGCAGGGACTGTACTGTATACTGCAGTTTAGCCAACAGCCTGTTTTGAGATGGATCCAGTCTCTTTTAAACAGAGGGGGACAATCCAAAAACAAGATTAACTTTTCAATAAAGCCCTCCAGTGAGTCCTGCTGGCGGACTGTAGCCAGATGTGATGGTTTCACTGAAGGAAGGCACGAAAACCGCCAGATCTGCTACCAAACGTTCGGGATAGTGCCAGATGCAAGAACAGACTTTCCACAGTTCTTTTAAAACGTATAAAAGAGGATGGAAAGTGTTTTTGGTGCGCTCAGACTCCCTGTGGGTTGTGTCATTAGTGTCATTATAGGATCTCGTTAATCACTTGCAGCTGCAGTCATCTTTCAAAAAAGGCATCTGTAATTTTCTGTGAGCATGTTGTCATAGAGCTTTATCACGGAAGAAAAATGATAAGTGGACGCCGTTTACAATGCTTTTTTATGGGCTTCAGAAACCAATCAAACTGTTTTACAACACTCACACACACACACACACACACACACACACACACTATCCTGTCACATGTATCTATTATTACAATAAGCAGTAGTAATCTGTTTCATGTTACGCTCTATTTCTAGCTCCGCTTATTCTATTGTAGCCTACTTGTATATAGGTAACTTCTTCTGCATTACTTGCACTTACTTGCACTACATATGTCTTGCACTATTTTATTTCTTCAATTGGTTCTTGCACTATTTTTATTTGTTTTATTGTCTTATGTCTTAAATAATTTATGTTGCATTGTTGGAGGAGACTTGGACTTGAGATGTTAAGAGCCATAACTACACTGTAGCTGCATATGACAATAAGGCCTTTGAACTTTGTCGAAAACACCTTTTCATTTCGAGATGAGGCTTAGATTGAGTGTCTGTGTGGCCAGGTTATTTAAAGGGGACCTATCGTGCAAAATGCACTTTTGATGTATTGTATGCATAAATATGTGTCCCCGGTGCCTCAGGGAACTCGCGCAGCGTCAGAAAATAAAACCCTTTCTCTTTTCCTCCGTACCCACATCTTTTAAAAACGGGGGTACAATGAGTGGATACAGATTTGCTGCCGATATTACGTAATTTCGGATGGTAGACCCACAGAAAGTTGCCATCAGAAACAATGCCTGACGTGTTTTGGACGTACGCTTGTCTTTATTTACATTAGCAAGCCTCGCTAACACTCAGAGCTAACCTGTACTGGAGAGCACATGTGTTTTTTTAAAAAGCAGGAAATCAAAAAAGGAACTCACCTTGTGATAAACCCGAAAGAGAAAAAGCATTTGAGCTCCATACTGTTTCAGAAATAATCTTTGATGTGGTTTAGAACAGGATGGCATTTTATCACAGCAGAATATAACTTAGCTCAACCACTGAGAGAGATCTCCGGTAGAATTCTGATCAGGCATTAGCTCCGCCTCCTCCTTTTTTTTTTTTTCAAGCTAAGGATCCAAAATCCGCGTTTCTCTAACAGGGCTGGAATAGAGGGGTATGAGGGAAATCTAAAATGCATGATCTGTTTGTATTTTGAGCAAAACACGTAGACATGTTTTTATATATTTGTATATTTCTGAGACCCATAATATATGCCTTAAAATTGCATGATAGGAGACCTTTAAATGTATTTTATAGTTGTATTTGTGACATCGCTTATTTAAATTGGTATTTTATTATAATTAGTATTTATTTATTATATTATAATTATTATTTGTATTGTTATTTTATTTGTTTTATAGGTTTTAATATTTTTCATTTTGTCTTATATCTTTTATTTTACAGAGGGATAATTTTTTATTTTATTGAATTTTCTTTAAATTATACCTTTTTTTACTTTTTGTCCCTTTTGAATTTTTATATTATATTGTGCCAAAAGTTTGATTATAAGTACATCTCTTGTTTTTTGTTTTAATTTGTGCCTTGTTGTTAAAGCACTTTGAGCTGCACCTTGTATATGAAAAGTGCTATACAATCAAAGCTTTATTACTATTTGTATTATCTACTTACCAACGGGCTCACTTGTAAAGCTGTGTGCAGAGCTTGGCATCGTGGGCAGTGGAGGTGGTACTGCTTTAGAGTTCTGGTCGTTCTGTATATCATTATTCATGCGGTTGATGGTGTGCCGGGTGTATTTCTGAGGATCGTAGGGTCTGTATCCTCCGGGAGACAGTTCAGGCATCTGTACGGGAGGCTGAGGCATCACAGGGGGTTGTGGGTAGACCGGGCGTATCCGTTCCTGCACCACACCGTACGAGTGTCCCCCCCGCTGACAATGCTTCTCCAGGTGCAGCAGGAGGGCGCTCTGGTTGTTTGCGAGGGCCGACAGACGCCGGTACTTGTGCTCCAGGTCGCTGTAGCGTAAGCCGAGCGTTCCCATCTGGTTCGTGTGGTTGAGCACTCGGGTCTCCAGCTGCGACGCCTCCAGAGCGTTGTCTCGTTTGCGGATGATCTCGTGCAGCAGTTGCATGTAGAGCTGCGTCACTCTGGAGTTCATGTTGCGGCTCTCCTTGCGCAGGAGCTTGACTTCATTCACCACCCCCCCGTCGACTTGTATCAGCTGCTGCAGAGCTTCGATCTGCCGGCGCTGCTTCTGAAGCTCGGTGTTCAGCAGCTCCAGCTCCTGCTTGTTGACCCGGTTCTCCAGCAATTCCTCGGGCTCCTTGGAGTTCACACAGATGGCCCCAGTGCTTTTCTGCTCGGGGACAATAAACGTGTAGGAACATTTGTCCGTTTGGGAGCGGCTGTGTTCAACGACGGCTCGTTTTTGCCGATTTGGGGCGAAGATAAACTCTTGCTCCGGGATCTCATCACTGTTCTCGATTTCCTGAGTGCCTTCTTGGAGAGAGGACTGGGGTCTGGAGAGCAACAGGAGCCACAGCAGCACCCCCGCAGGGAGAATCATAGCACGGTCCTGCTGCACGAGCCAAGATGATTCCTGGAACAGAGTGGGGAGAGATGATCAGTCAGTCTCTTCTCTCACTGCAGTAGCTAAAGAAAAACGTTCACATCAGGCGGAAATCCACTGTTATATTCGACATGTTTACATTATCAGAGTCAGTCAATGTTGTTGTCAATCTTTCAGTTTGTGTGTACAGACGGAGAGATCGAAATCCCGAATATAAAAACAAATGTATATAAAAATATGTATGTGTTTGAATTCACATCAAACAGTCAATGTTTTGGTGATGAATAGAAAAGCATTACAAATCATTCTGCTGCTTTCGGGTATCGAACTTTGATCAGACCTTTTGGTATATAGAAAAATGTTTTGCATACAATAACAAATATGTAAGACCCTTTATGTCATTGCAGATTCACCATTGACACCTTTTTGAAACACTTAAATCCCATATATTTCATTGTCAAAGAATGTCTCTTATTAATTATTTTTAATATTTTAAATGGTGTCGGACTTTTGAATTGACCCTAGATTGTAGTGAGGCTACTTTGTAACTGATTTCAATCAATGTACGGGAAACTAATCTGCTCTGTAGGATCTGAAGGGCGACTGTGGCTGCGAGGGAGTGCGGTCGTCTTTCAACCAGAAGGTTGTGGGTTCGATCCCAGCCCGTGCAGGGCAAGATACTTAACCCTGAGTTGCTCCCGATGGCGAACGGTGTGTGAATGTTAGTTCCTAGAGTAAGGTACACTGCTCTGTGTGAATGGGTGAACGACATGTAGTATGTAAAGCGCTTTGAGGGGTCTTGAAGACTGGATAAAGCGCTATATATGCTGTCCATTTACCATTAAAAGAGGAATGTACAGAAATTAAGATATTTTTGGAATTAGTGACTACTTTAATCAATAATTACATTTCGCTGTCCAACTCCTCACCGCAGGTCTTTCAAACTGAATTCTGTGCAAATCCATGAAGCCAATTACCAGATAAACAACTTGACCACATATCCCAGGACTGCATAGCAAAGCTCGGACGTAGCATCCAAACACGTCCACTTAGTTGTGTCACAATTGCTTAAGCCAAGTTTGATTTAAGCAATTATGTGTACCGACACATCTGCAACAGTTCAGGCGAGAGATGTGAGATGTTCTGCAGGATGTCAGACTTTCTTTCATGTCTCGCTTTCTATGGAACATGACATCAAGACACCCACTGGCCCCAGAGAAACCGCTCAGAAACAACCACACATGACATTTAAGATCGATCTTTTCCAGATTGATCTCAATTCGTTCTCCTTTCTCTGTCCAGGAGAGCGATTAAACTGCTACATGCTGAATGTTAAGCGTGCAGATCTGTGTAGAGATGATAGAAGTGGTGTAATGGACCAATCTGCACAATGACTACTTTTACTTTTGGTACTTTAACCATATTTTGATGATAATACTTTCGTTATTTCACTTGAGGAACATTTTGAATGCAGGACTTTTACTACACTCTGGTACTTCTACTTTTACTCAAACTACAAGATCTGAGTACTTCTACTTTTACTCAAACTACAAGATCTGAGTACTTCTACTTTCACTCAAGTACAAGATCTGAGTACTTCTACTTTTACTCAAACTACAAGATCTGAGTACTTCTACTTTTACTCAAGTACAAGACCTGAGTACTTCTACTTTTACTCAAGTACAAGACCTGAGTACTTCTACTTTTACTCAAGTACAAGATCTGAGTACTTCTACTTTTACTCAAGTACAAGACCTGAGTACTTCTACTTTTACTCAAGTACAAGATCTGAGTACTTCTACTTTTACTCAAGTACAAGATCTGAGTACTTCTACTTTTACTCAAGTACAAGATCTGAGTACTTCTACTTTTACTCAAGTACAATATCTGAGTACTTCTACTTTTACTCAAGTACAAGACCTGAGTACTTCTACTTTTACTCAAGTACAAGACCTGAGTACTTCTACTTTTACTCAAGTACAAGATCTGAGTACTTCTACTTTTACTCAAGTACAAGATCTGAGTACTTCTACTTTTACTCAAGTACAAGATCTGAGTACTTCTACTTTTACTCAAGTACAATATCTGAGTACTTCTACTTTTACTCAAGTACAAGACCTGAGTACTTCTACTTTTACTCAAGTACAAGACCTGAGTACTTCTACTTTTACTCAAGTACAAGATCTGAGTACTTCTACTTTTACTCAAGTACAAGATCTGAGTACTTCTACTTTTACTCAAGTACAAGATCTGAGTACTTCTACTTTTACTCAAGTACAAGACCTGAATACTTCTACTTTTACTCAAGTACAAGATCTGAGTACTTCTACTTTTACTCAAGTACAAGATCTGAGTACTTCTACCTTTACTCAAGTACAAGATCTGAGTACTTCCCTGACCTCTGGATGATAGTGAGTTATATCTCTATCTCCACAGTGTGCCAGGGCATCTGTTAGATCTGAGGTCAGTGGGAAATGCAGCAGGAGCCCATAAAGTTAGTCCAGACCCCGATCGCCATCTGTCAGTTTGACTTGGAAAAGGTGTCAGGACAAACTGAGCTCTGTGGATGACCTGATAAATGAGTTTGTCACGCATGCTTTATCCCTCCCTGTCTTTGCCCCTGTGTCTCTTTCAGTCACCGACAAACCGACACACACACACACACACACACACACACACACACACACACACACACACCATGTATACATCACTTCAGGGGACATTACATTGACTTACATGTCATTTCCTGGAGACTTATCCTAACCTTAACCATAACCAACACATGCCTAACCCTTACCCTAACCCTAACCAAGTCTTCACCCTAAAATTAATGATTATCGTCATGGGGACCTCCAATTTGTCCCCATAAGGGAGGTGAGTCCCCACACGTGACTGTGTAAACAGATTTAGGGTCCCCACAAGTATAGTAATGCTAGGCCACACACACACACACACACACACACACACGCACACACACACACACGCACACACACACACACAGAGGAACAGTTGCCGGTGTAACTTGTCTGTCACAAACGCACGTCTGCGTCTGGATGCTCAAGCATGTCTTTAAACCACGGGGGGGGGGGGGGCTGGCTGGCTATCCTCCCTCGGCACATTTGGTTTGGCCGACTTCCTGTAAAAGAGTAGCTGGTGAGTTAATTATCAGTCCCTGTAGGAGTCGTTTCCTGAGTCTCTGACGTGTATCCTCCTGCTCTGCCTCACCGTGAAGCTTCATGAAACTGAGAAGCTTTCCTCAGTGTTGATCCCTTACACACCATCAGTGTTTCTGCCGTTAACGCGGCTCAGCGTTAGTCTTTACATATTTGCATGATTAAGATAAATAAATAAAAGCTGTACCTTTTTTATTGATCACAATTTCGGAGGCAATAAACGAGGCATTATGTGACATTTAAAACGAGTAGGAAATAAACGGACATAATCATAAAATGGAAACATCTCAAAATAGACCGAACTAAAAAGTAAAAGATTTATATAATGACAGTGAAAGATCTGATTAGTGTCCGTCGAATATAATAATAATAATAACGCATTTTTTTTAAGTAAGTAAAAAATAAAAAGGCAGTCAAGAGGAAGTTGATTGAGAGGGGGGGGGGCTTATGGGTAGACAGAGTTGAAAAGATGTGTTTTGAGGCGGGACTGAAAGACTGTGAGGGACTCAGTCACAAATATATATATATATATTTATATATATATATATATTTATATATATATATAGTCACGAATATACCCTATGAAGTGTCGATTACAGCTCACAAAATATAAAAGTCGGATATCATTTACATTAATTACACTGTCGATTTAAGAAAGTCGATATTTCTCCTCAGAAAAAACCCCACAGATTAATACAATCCCGTTTCACAGCGTACTTCCAAGTGGGATGTTGGTTAAAAGCAAAGGATTGTTATCTTTATTAGTGTTAACCTTTACATGATGACTGGTAATGCATTAAGAGACGTTTAATTGGGCGTGCAGCACTAGTGGTCAAACTTGGATCAAATCTGGAGGAGGTGGCAGAGGGGAGGACGAGGAGGAAGCTCGACAGCATCCTAGAGAACCCCTCCCACCCACTCCACGCAGAGCTAGTGAAGATGAGGAGTACGTTCAGCCACAGACTCATCCCTCCACAACAACGCACCAAGCGCCTCGGACAGTCCTTTGTGCCTGTAGCCATCAGGCTGCACAACAAGGGGTTAAATATGAAAAAGAAATACAATTAAATCACTGGACATAAATATACACTGTTTCCACAACCCATGTTAACTTTTCACTTGTCACTTATTCCACACTTTATAACTTAGATGGTGACCAAATATGTATATATGCTGACAGTTATTTTACTCTTATTTTTATTCATCTCCTATTTTCATAGTCTTTTATTATTATTATCATTATTATTTTTTCCTTGATTTTATGTTATTTATTATTTATTTTAGATTTTATTGATCTGTGTGAATCTTTGCTGTACTGTTTTTTTCATGCTTACCCTGTAGCTGCTTTGTACAACTGAATTTCCCCTCGGGAAGTCTTATCAAACTTGCTTTACTACTATTTCGGGGTTTATTTGAAAAACGAATTATGCGAAAAGTAAGAAATCTGGAAAGGTTTGATACTTTCACACGGATTAACGTAAAGGAACTGACACTTTGATAAGAGTCACTCTGCACATCACTTCACCAAATACTACCAGAAGCTTTGTGTCGGAAATGAAGGAGTGCGTTTGAATTAAAGTCCATATTAAGGAATATGAAAGGTTCCCTGTGGAGTTTTTGACCTCAAGTAGAGCTACGGAGAGTTTCTTGACATGTGGGTTCATGTTTTCTTTGTCTCACACAATACGACACACATGCACAATCGCATGAGTCATGACAATGGTTTCACATTACTCCCCTGACACACTCGAATAATTACAGATCCTGTTACGAAACAACTGCATTTGATAAGGACGTCATTAGTTCTGGAGTTCCTCGTTCCACACCACTGTAACGGCACACTATTCAACAAGTCATTGAGGTGACTCTAAGTTTATCTTCTTTAAATCAGAGCTTTAAAACAAATGTAAAATCTATCAAGCTGTAAACATGACATGCAAGACATCTAACATGTTTCCCAGCAATGAGAGTATTGGTTTAAACTCACAACGCATGCATTTAATCCCCCTAAAGATCGTTGGAGAACATGGAGAACAATCTGTGATACTCAAAAAGTCAGTCATAGGAAATGAAAGGCTCAACGGACTGCTCCACTCACCTCCACTTGTCTCCTTTTCCTTCAACCCCCTGCCTGTCTATGACTTCCTCAGCAGTCAGTAATTCCTCATGTCCTCTGCGTTGGTCCAGTATTTAGTCAGTGGAACGTCTTCACATTATTCCCCTTGGCCCGCTGTCAGTCACTTTCTTCATGTGGAAAATGTTCAGCCCTGATGTCTCTGCACAGGACCCCAAATGTCCAATCAATGAACAGCCAGAGCTTTCCCGCTGCGACTTCATTCATCGGCACCTTGGTCATGTGATGAGTCATCA